CAATTTATCTTGCCAAGATTCGCGAATAAAATTACCAATTACATGACAATGACTCAAGCATGCGAACTCATTACTTTGTTGTTGAATAGAGTTCAAATTATAATATTTTAACGACATCAAATATGCTTTTAGCACTTCTTCTAAATAAGTGATTTGTCTTAAGACAACTTGAATTCCCATAAAATTATCGGCTTTTTGAAGCTGTTGCAATGATTCATCTAAATAAAATGTAATGAATTTTAATGAACTCTTTTCAACTTTTTGTTGTAGTGTTCCAAACGCCTCATGTATTCCTTGATCGCGCGCTTCATGGATAGATCTGCAAATATGAAATTAGTATGTTAAAATATATTAGAACTTCAAACATTATCAGAAATAATCACCTGCGAGATTCAGAAAATTCTATCCCAAGTTTTAAAAAGTCAGAAACAAATTTCCAAATGCCACTTGTCATTAAGACCAGATATTTTTGGTCAAAGGAATGATCCAAGTGGACAGAATATGCGAAAATAATAATGTTCAAGTAATCAACGATTTTAAAATTTTCATTTTCTCGATATCTAGAAAACATGTGGCTATCATATTATAAAGAACAAAATTTATCAGTATCATATTATTTACAAGACGCTACTAATGTAAAGCATACCTTGAAATAATTATTATAGTTTCATTGGTTATCTGCACCAAATTGATAAATTGCTCGTGTACAATATCTATACCTTCTTGTTGAGGTTCACTGATTGTTTTTATGTGATATTTACAGGTATATATAGATGATATCCACCACATAATATATGATTGATTTTTCCACTGCAAAGTTTATAATCCTTGAGATAAATATAACGCAATATTATATTGTTTACTATGAAAGCATGTTATTACCATACCAGTAAATCATCTTGTTTAGTTGTTGAAAGAAAAAATTTACGTATTAAACCTCTACAAAGAATAGCACTTTTCAAAAAATTTGGATTACTTTGTTGACTTTGTGACATAAGTATCACTTTATCTATGAGCAATATTAATGCAGATAGGCAATTAACTTCCCATCTATCAAAATATTCTGAGGGAAATAAATGGAGTAGTGTAACAAGACGATGTATTTTTTGAATGCTTTCATCCGTTAAAAAATTATTGGACCATGACTGTTTGTCTGATGATGATGATGAAAAACAGGGAAATATAGAATCCAGTATTACTGGTGAGGCCTGTTGATGCCACTTTGATGCAATTTCAATAATCATGCCTATCTCTTTGCTATCATCGTCAGATTCTATCATATTTTCATCACATACTTTTTTGAAAATTGATGATAATTCTTCTAAATAAACTTTTAGAAAAATATCTGAAATAAAAAAATTCACTATAAATTTATTTATAATTTATATATATAAATTATATAAAAACTATCAATAAATACCTCTCAAAGATTTTAACTCAAAAAATTCCGCAGAATGCAAAATCTGAATGAATATACTTTCCATAGATATTTCTTCATTGTTTATGCCCATAGAATATGTAACAAATCCTTTGACTATAAACCTCATTATTGATTCAAGCTCTTGTTTTTGGCAATTATTACTGAAGAAAACGTGAGAATATAACATTAACAAATTGTTCAAATATTAGTAATGTATAAATGTGATTTTGCTAACACTCACACTACAACATCCAACCACTCTCTAATAATAAGCATAGAATTCGAGATTGCAAAGTTTTCTTTAGTCATATCAACCAAATACCCTGTCCACGAGATTTCAGCACTTTTAGGATAGTCGAGAGTAGAAAGAATAGTAGATATATATTTATGAATTATATTAGTATCATTTTTTGGTTCGTTACTTGTTGTATGTTGAAGTTTAATTGTGGGCGTTGAACGGTACACATATTGAAGTCGAACTTTATTCTAATTCAAGTTATAACATTTTCAGTATTAAATAGTAATAAATTATTGGATATTTCAATTATTATAAGATCTCACCAAAAAAAGATTCACTTTTGGGTCAATTGATGAAATTTTGTCCAGAACTGAAATAAATTCCGGCGTAACTGCTTTTTCCCAATATAAAGTTGATATATCTACCAAGCAATGATGTAAGCTAAGTGCAGCATATATCATAATATCCCTATTATGTTCATTCATGCCATTAAGTTTGGTAGATAGTATAGGAAAAACGAACAAATCAAATAGTGATTGGAATGCTTTTTCCATCCCATCCCTAGAAACTGATGTGATTCTCAAGGCCCGCAAAAATCTAACGATAAAGATGATCCGCGGTTCGAGTTGATTCGCTCTCGATAAAGGAGGAGTAGCAGCCTTGTCTTCTAGTTTCCTCCTTTTGTTTTGTGTTTTCTTATCAGTTTTCTGACAAAGAAAATTAGGCAAATATATTTCACATAATTCAGTAGTAAATAAAGTAATGAGTTCGCATGCTTGAGTCATTGTCATGTAATTGGTAATTTTATTCGCGAATCTTGGCAAGATAAATTG